AACTTCTCTTTTCTATTTGCTTTAAAGGTTAGGCTAATATGATTGGAATGGCTAGGATCATTAGATCCAACTTACCTTATTGCTGGCCCTACGTCGCAGTCATTTTTTATGACTCTAATCCCTCTGTTCTAGCTTGCCACCCTGGATGTCCTGTGCAGCTGAACTAAAGTCTAATTTCCAGTGTCATTATCTCATTGCATTCCTGAGCTGTGTTATTGTTAATTTTCACTGTAAATCAGGTGAAATTTCACTGTTTTGACTGCATTGTTGAACAGGTTAAACTCTAAACTGGACCTTGCAACACGCATGCACAGAACTGAACTTTATGGCCACTTTTTTTGCACCATAATTTTTTTTGCACTACCAACATTCATTGTTCCACACATTTTTGTTTAAAAAAATATATATATTTCTCCTTGCACTTATTCATCTTAACACTACTGCACTTTATATTCTAATGTTGTTTATTTCCTCTACAATTTAATTCCTGTTGTAAGCCGTATGCAACGGAAATTTGATCTGTATATACTGTGCATACAAAATGACAATAAAGTTTGTCTAAGTCTAATAACTCTGCATCAGGGATTTTCACAATCATCAGCTACTATCTTAAAGGACACTTTTTTATGCATTAAGCATTGGGGTTATTCTATGCAGTGTGATGTATCACTCAGGTCAGATACAGTACATCCTCGTTTTGAGTAACATCTGAATGAACACAGACAAATTTCTTTGGTTGGTGATGAATAACTCTGCTGATTGCCATAGACTAAATTACTAAATCGGTGAAGGCAAGTGGATTTTAACAGTCAAGCCATTAATCCAACCTGAATGTAAAAGATTAAGAACCCTGGTGAATAAGTCAGTTTCTGTTATAATCATCAAACTAATAATCATTAATTGGTTTACCCATGATTTGAATGACCTAATAGTTAGCTATAACTTCCAGTTCTAATTATTTAATATATTTATAATCTGGTAAAATTTCAAAACAGTATGAATACTTATGCAAAATGTAGGCTATATCCTAATGGAAAACGCTATCGTACTACAGCTGCCCTATTCTCTACTAGAAGAAAACGGAAATCAAGGGTATTTGCTAATTTTCTGACAAACAAAAAACAAATAATCTGTAGGAATAAAAAATGTGTTCTTGTTTTTTTTTTCTGTTTTTGAATTACTTCATTTTCATTTACACTGTGCAGCAGCAGAGGGAGCAGTAGACTTTTTGTGTCCAGTGTCCCACTGTTTGCCTTATTAGACATTGGTGAAAAGGTCACACTGTGAACAAAGGAAGCTTCTGAGTTGTATATGTTCCAAGCAATTTCCCCCAAATGAGAAACCTGACAGTTTAAGGAATGAAAAGGAAAGTAGATAAAGCAGATACGCATCCAAGTGTGTGTAAAAGAGAAAAGGGAAAAGAAAAGAAGACACAGAGAGAGCAAGCGAGAAAAAAAAAGAATGTCTTAATGTCTTTGTGCCTTTACAAGAAACAAAATCACTGAAGTGATGTCACTGCCTTCATTTTGACTGGCAAATCGTGCAATGCAGGTGTGTGCAGACGAGTGTTTGGAAGACCGAAACAAGAGAGAAATCTGCTGATAGCTGATGGAAAAATGAAGAGAAAATTGCTTACATTCTCCTATATCTAATTTGTGAAGAAAAGCATACAGTAAGACCCCATTCCCCTACTGTGTCAACATTTTTTTTGTGTGGGGGTGGGCATAGTCACAGTTAAAGATACACGGGTGGTCTTGCCATTGTTGCTTCACTTCATGTTACACACACCTAACAAATAAGAAAGATGCATCAGTAAACTTTACAGAGTTGAGACTATGTTATTCAGGCTTCTCCTGTATTACGCACATCTGTGTCCGTGCATTGCTGATGAAAAGAACACACATATATAGGCACACGTGTTTCCCTTAGCGATAAAGAATAAACTCAAACAAAGAATATTATTACATTACTCAACTTAGGTATATTTTTTAGCGGCTCTTCTTTAAGTGTTTTGTGGTTATCAAAAGAAGAACAGACCTAGTCATTGAGTAGATACTTAATCAAAATGCATCGAAAGACATGACATTTTTTCCTCATCCAATTTCCTGTCTGGTTTTCTTGGTTTTAGTTTATATTTTTTCCTCTTTTTAATTTTGTTCCATCACTTTCACACTTCATACTATGAGATCGCTCTTTGACTGAGGGTCAATAAGGCTCTTCGAAAAGCTTATAATGTAGGTTTTTTTTCAACCCCATGTTCAAAGAGGTTTGAATGAGGCAGCTGTCATAGGTTAATGTCAGGGTGTCACAATTAGCCACAGAGATTGTTTGAACAGCAAACCTACATGCTGTAATTTTCATAATTACCAACTAAAGTCAAATGTTAATGTGAGTTCTGTCTGCTATTTACAGGTGGACAAAAACTGTGTCTTTTTGTTATACACCTTAGAGCTTAAAAACATGGGTTACCTGTTTCATTGCAAAGGAAAATAGTCATTATTTTTTAATATTCTATATATTATTTTATTATATTTATTGTTTTTTTAATAATTTAACAATTTTTCACTTCTTCACAAAATATCCTTTTTTAAATAAGGATATTGATATTTACTTAGTATTGGTTATACTTAGCATTTTTGTTTTAGTTTTTTTAATGTATTATATTATATATTATATATATCCTTTGCTTGAACCTTGAGGAAAAAGTTTTTTTTTTATTTTTTATCCAGGCTTCACATTAAGGTATATGTGCCATAAGAAAATATTAAAATTACTTTTTAAGCATTTTTTTTTCTTCTAATGTTGTTCATCTCCTGAACCCTACAGAGCCCTAAAATTTTTTACATAGCATTGGTTAAGATAAAAGTAAAATTAAAAATAAATTTCCTATTCATGCAATAAAACTTTAGATATTAGTATTCTCGTGTTTTAACCTGTGTCTCATGTTTTTGTGCTCTGACTTAAATGATCTTGTTTTTACAAGCACACAATGCATAGCAGACTCTGTTGTGGTTGTCTTTTCAAATATTTACCCCCCGCTTTCATCAACTTGAACTATAAGAAAATCTTGACAATAAATGAATGATTTCCTCTCTGTATCTAGATTTGCTGAGTCTTTGTTTCTCTGCTCTATCTTTAAACCTTATACACCTATTAAACCCCCTCTGTCCTCCCTTCCACTCCACCTCTTTTTCACCTCTTTATCAATGGCAACCTATATAACTGTATCTATGTTTGGACAGCACTTTAATTTTGATTTCAAGCAAGACTGAGCAAAGTGTATGAAGCGGAGAGGAAACTAGGAATTACTGATTAAGAAAGTGTGTGTGCATGTCTGTTTGAGAAAGAACAAGCGTGAGATCTCATTACGAAAAGGTCACAGAGCTGCGTGTGGCAGAGAGGGATTGGACATTAGGCAGGTTGTCACTGGTCACTTGTGCTGAAACTTTGAGGATCTGTGAGATAGAAACATGTGCATGTGAAACTGACTTTGTCATGTTAGCATCCTTTAATTTTTTTCCTGTGCCCTGAAATGTCATTCCTGGTTCTGCTCTTATAATTATGCTATTTGCAGAATGTGAGATACAGGGCTTCTGCAGGCTACAAAATGTTGACTACAGTTCATGACACAACTGTGGCTTTATGGATAGAGTAGTAATTGACATTCGAAAAGGTATGGATCAGTTTCAGCTGCCTATGAGGAGTGCCGGCTTTTTTGGAATCTTGAAGTTCTGAGTTCAAGCACAATGCCCACTGGTCCCTAAGGGGATGGGTTAAATGCAGAGAGTTTATTTCATTGCCATGTACTTGTGAAAATGTACTGACAATAAAAACTGAGGAAAAAATATAAAATAAAAATATATATATCCCTCAGCAATGCATTTGACCAAAAGTTACAGACTATAAATCTGTGTGCATCAGTGTAACTGTCATGGTAGTGTTTTGTTTTTGTTTTTTTATCTAAAAGAACTGAACCTGTTGACATCAAATTCAACAGAACCTTCTCAACTGTATAGATGCCATACTACTTAATGAAGACTAAATGACATTTCAAAGTAATTACGTCCAATTCAGCTAAGGCACACAAATAGGTCTCATATCTGAAGGCATGTGCAAAGCTCCACATTAAAGTGACAGTATCATGCTGAGTTCATTGTGCTGTAACCCCCCCCCCAGTTGACATGGCACACATACTGTAGAGATAGACAACATCATGAGGCTCTGAAATGTATTATCTATTATACTGGAGCTATCAATAACGATGACATGTAGTATTGATTTTAATAAGTCAGCTTGTCCGCCTGTTCTAAGTATTAACAAAGAACCAATCATGACATAAAAGTCTCTTCTTTTTCTTGATCTGGTCAGATATGGTTAGGATGGACGGACAGACTTAATACACACACATACGCATATATATATATATATATATATATATATATATATATATATATATATATATATATATATAAATTGGAAGCCTGATTACAGGCTTGAAATGTTGGCAGTGATGAATGCCCCCTTTGAAAATGAAATGCCAAATAAACAGGGTTGACATTGGCACACAGTGTTCTGAGTTCCATGTATGTGGCAGTTTGTTTGTGCTATTTTTGTTGGAAGGATCTAATCAAATGTAATCATGCTGATTACAATAATTGTGAGGTTTATAATAACTCCCCCCCGCCTTCAGATTCTTTCTTTAAAACTCTCCTTTTCCCTCTCACTTGTTCCTTCATGTGTGCTCATCTGAGTTGTCATTCACAGTCATGTCTTCCTGCCCACCTACTTGATGCTCTGTTTCAACTGGAATTAGATTACAATTTTTTAAAACAGTTTAAGGATATGCTGTTTTAGATATCTTTTATATTAACTGATTTTAGTGATTGATCATTATTATAACTACTGTACATGTACAGTATAATATAAGACGATGCAGAAACAACTCAATGACTAAATAGTGAACTAAATGTTTTTTTTTTTCCTCTTCTCTCCATCTGTAGGACACAGAGGTGTTGAATACGGCCATTCTTACAGGTAGACGGGTAGCAATGCCCATTAAATTGGTTACAGTGGAAACAGATGGACAGGTGAGGGAAGTAGACGACTCTGTCACCTGCAGCTCAACAGATGTGGATGTGGTGAAGGTATGTATTCAAATTTTACTCAGACATATGTAATATCAGTTAGCTAATATCCTTCCTGTCTGTGCACATTTACTTCAAAGTTACAAATATTGTAAACGTTGCAAAAAGGAGTTCGACCACAGCAGTGTTGACTGCTGCTTTCACCAAAGCAGCTATTTTACATATCCACTAACCAAATCCTTAATCATGGGATTTTTTGTTTTGTGAAATGAATTACCTCAGTAATCAGGTTTTGCCTGAAGTTCAATGTCATGACTTTCCAAACACATTTCTGTTTTATACTGGAAAGAAGAAAGTAAAAGACTGTAAATCCATGGAAAACATTAAAGAAGAGGGTGATCCTTTCAGTCGATAAAAACTCACTCATGCTAGACCTTTAATTAAGCATTTCATTCAAGCAACTTTGGAAAATATGAATTGCATTACTTAACATGTTGTGGCTTTAATAGTGCAACTTTTTAAAATGATTCCAGCGCTCTCTGGGCTTCTGCACCCCTATGCTCCCACTCAGTGCCTCAGGTCGGCTGACCTTCTTCTCCTGCAGGTACCAAGGTTCAAACGGAAGCTGAGGGGCTGAGTGTTTGCAGTTGCAGCTCCAAAAATGTCAAATGAGCCTCCCCTTTTCCTTGTTGCCACTCACTTACTGTCTAACTATAAAACTCATCTTAAAATCGAATTTGCCATATATA